CCCCGCCGCCGCCGGGCCGCGCGCGGCCTCTTTACCTGCCGTCTCCGCCTTGCCCCGCCCGCTCGGGCGCCTTCCGCCCTCGGGTCCCGTGTGTGGCGCCTTTGTGTGCCAGGTGGGCTCGTCCTTCTTCAAACCGCTTGGCTGGGCCGCTTGGAAGCAATTTTAAAACTTAAGAGAAAATCCTGGGTAAAGTTTCAGCGCGTGTACAAAACCTCACAGAACACGTGAATTTCGCTCGTGACATTCTTTCCTAGTGAAGGAAGAGTTGTGTCAGGGTCTCAGAAATGCAATTCTTGCATAAAAGGCAAGAATTCTAACTTTTCCTTGATGCAAGGAAGGGTGAGAAGAAATGTATTGTGCACTCCGTGTTGACCCCTTTCTGCTTCCTCCTGAGCCAAGCCCCGATTTGACACGCACTCTCTTGCTGTTTTCCCCCAGGAGTTTGCAGTCACCTGCTTAGGCCTGGCTTGTCCTGCCAACCCCTCCTACCCTGTAGACTTCTAACGCTGCGAGAAGAATGCCAGGGTGTCTGCTGAATGGCTTTACTCAGCTCAGGGCTGCTCAGGTGTATGTCAGGTGGCTGGAGTTTGGGGAATGTGGGTCTTGGCTTAGCCTGTGCCAAAGGGAATCCCAGACTTCTAAAACAGTCTTAATTTGTTTGGGATATGCTGATAATCTTATTTTCCATCCCTGATCACTGTTTAGGTGGAGACAGTCCTTTGCATCTTTAGGGAGTCTTCAGTTTCATTGAAGTATATCCATTTCAGTCAAAAGCAGCCTCTGCAGCTTCTGTTTTCATTCATTCAAGCTTTGTGTGTGTGTGTGTGTGTCCATGTCCGTGTCCGTGTCCCCGTGTTCATCCATCCATCTGTCCATCCCAGAGCTTTTTTATTTAAGGTTACCTACTCTACCACTTGAGCCACATTTCCACTTCTAGGTTTGTTTGTTTATTGGTGCTAATCCTGAGGATTGAACTCAGGACCTGGACACTGTCCCTGAGCTTTTTTGCTCAAGGCTAGCACTCTACCACTTGAGCCACAGCTCCATTTCTGGCTTTTTGGTGGTTAATTGGAGAATAAGAGTCTCATGGATTTTCCTACCCATGCTAGCTTCAAACTATGATCCTCAGATCTCAACCTCCTGAGTAGCTAAGATTGCAGACATGAGCCATGGGTACTTGAGCTTCATTTAGGCTTTGAAAGCAAAGAATGTCCAGCACTTGACCTCTAACCTCATCCTTATTCTCCTTGCTCCTTATACCAGGGTGAATTAAGACCTCCTAATGCCCAGCCCATTAGCAGAGGGCCCTGAGGTCTCACTTGGGAGCTTGGGAGTGGTGCTGTTCCTGCAAAGCCCCATGTCTGAGATATATTACCTCTGGATTTTGTTAGTCTTCTTAACATCCTCTCTTTTGTTCTGCAAGTTATTATTTATTTTTTTTGGTCGGCCGTGGGGCTTGAACTCTGGGCCTGGGCGCTGTCCCTCAGCTCTTCAGCTCAAGGCAAGCACTCTACCACTTGAGCTATAGCGCCACTTCCAGTTTTCTGGTGGTTTATTGGAGATAGGAGTCTCACGGTCTCTCCTGCCTGGGCTGGCTTTGAACCTTGATCCTCAGATCTCAGCCTCCTGAGTAGCTAGGATTACAGGTGTGAGCCACCAGCGCCCGGCATGTTCTGCAAGTTATTGAGTACTCTCCACAGTTGCAGAGCCAGTGTCAGCCTGTTTTACAATTACAGAATAATCAGGAGCATTCAAGTTTGCCATTTTACTAGACATAGCTTGTGAAAACATGGAACAGTTAATACAAGCAAGCAACCTAAGACAAAAGTCAAAAGGATACTGTCATTGTAGAAAGCAATATAACATTTCCTATGGTGGTACTATATTAGCTCCTAGGCTCTTCTTTTGATCTTGTTGCCTGTATGTTTGACACATTGTGTGATTTTGTGTAGCTTTCAAACTAAGAATGGTTTCCACATTTTTAAGTGGTTGAACATTTTAGAGTCTCTTTGACAGGTGCTTATTGTGTAAACTTCATAGTTCAATGTCCATAGTTATTTTACTGGCAACAGTCCCACTCTTTTGCTCATTTGTTCATGTAGGCTTTGGGCAACAGTGAGAGTTGGGTAGTTTGATAGAGATCATGTGGCCACAAAGCCTAAATTATTTATAACCTGACCCTTTACAGAAAAGTTCACTGATCTGTTTTTTCATCTAATCAACAAACAAGCATTATATTTCCTGTTAGATTAGTGTGTGTGTATGTATGCATGCATGGGTGCCTGCCAGTCCTGGCCTTGAACTTGGGGCCTCTGTGCTGTCACTGAGCTTTTGTGCTCAAGGCTACTATGCTACCACTTTGAGCTACAGCTCCACTTCTAGTTTTCTAAGGGTTAATTGGAGATAAGTCTCATAGATCTTCCTGTCTGGGCTGGCTTTGAACCTCAATCCTCAAATCTCAGCCTCCTGAGTAGCTAGTATTACAGACATGAGCCACCAGTGCTTGAGTAGTATATTTGTTTAAAAATAGATTTCTTAGCTGGGCACCATGGCTCACACCTGTAATCCTAGCTGCTCAGGAGGCTGAGATCTGAGGATTGCGGTTCAAAGCCAGTCTGGGCAGGAAAGTCTGTGAGACTTGCCTTCTATTGAAGGCACAAGAAAACCACAAGAAAACCAGAAGTGGTGCTGTGGCTCAAGTGGTAGAGCACTAGCCTTAAGCTGAAGAGCTGAGGAATAAAATCTAGACCCAGAGTTCAAGCCCCACGACCAACAAAATATAAATAAAATGGACTTCTTAAAAAAAATCTTGTTATATCCACACCGATAATGACAAAGTTGTGTTTTCTAAGACATTCCCTTTTTCTGAACGTTTTCTGCTAACCTGTCATTCAAAGGTAGTCCTTTTTGTTTTGGTTTGTTTTGGTTTAGTTTTTGGTTGGTCATGGGGCTTGTACTCGGCCTGGACACTGTCTCTGAGCTCTTCAGCTCAAGGCCAGCACTTGAGCCACAGCGCCACTTCAGTTTTCTGGTTTATTCAAGATAAGCGTCTCATGGACTTTCTTGCCCAAACTGGCTTTGAATCCTGATCCTCAGATCTCAGCCTCAGCCAGGATTACAGGTGTGAGTCACCAGCCTTTTTCTTAGATCTTTTATAGTGTCCTTATAATTTTTGCCTATAGTATTTGGTGGGGAAGTCTGAAATTACAGGAAAAATACCCACTTTTCTTCAAAACTTGAAAATTAGCCAGGTGCTGGTGGCTTATGCCACCTAGCTATTCAGGAGGCTGAGATCTCAGGATCATGGCTCAAAGCCAGCCTGCCCAGATAAGTCCATGAGACTTGTCTCCACTTAAAAACATCAAAAAAGCTAGAAAGTAGAGCACTAACCTTGAGCAAGAAAGCTTAGGGACAGTGCCCAGGTCCTGAGCTCAAGCCCTAGGACTTGCACCAAACAACAACAAAAACAAAAAAGCAAAAACCACTTGGGCTGGGAAGGTGGCTCAGTGGTAGAGTGCTTGCCTTGCATGCCTGAGGCCCTGGGTTCAATTCCTCAGCACCACATAAGCAAAAAATGCCAGAAGTAACACTCTGGCTCAGGTGGTAGAGCGCTAGCCTTGAGCTGAAGAGCTGAGGGACAGCGCCCAGGCCCAGAGTTCAGGCCCCATGACCAGACCCCCCCCCCCCCAAAAAAAAAACCACTTGAGAAGTGATAATTTTGAGAAATTAATGATTTTCTTTCTCATTTTCAGATTATTTGTGTAAACCTGAAGACAACGTGTACAGTATTGACTTTACTCGCTTCAAAATTCGAGATTTGGAGACAGGGACAGTGCTTTTTGAGATCGCCAAACCTTGCATTTCAGGTAGGTCTCACTGTTAAAGGGCTCACTTGACAGTGTGAGCAAACTATTGAAAAGTCAAGTGTTTGCCATTTCATCCCGTTTCTTGGATTTCACTGTGTCCTACTTCTGTGACCATGTCCATGACCACTGTGACATGGCCAGTCAACTGAGCTAGTTTGAAGCTATGTCAAGAGGCTTATGTTGGAGCTGGGAAGGTGGCTCAGTGGTAGAGCGCTTGCCTTGCATGCATGAGGCCCTGGGTTCAATTCCTCAGCACCACATAAGAGAAAAAGCTGGAAGTGGCGCTGTGGCTCAAGTGGTAGAGCATTATTAGCCTTGAGCTGAAGAGCTGAGGGACAGTGCCCAGGCCCAGAGTTCAGGCCCCACGACCAGTAAAAACAAAACAAAACAAAAACAAGATATCTACTCTGTGCTGGTCACTGTGCATCTTCCTTGCACATCACCTGTGTAATCCTCAAGCCTCTGAGGAGTTATGATGTCCATTTTTATGAAGAAGAAGCTGAGATCCACAATTTCCAAGTGACACTTTCCTTAAGACTGTTTTATTGTAGCATAGTGCCTCAGGAAATAAATCCTTGAAATTAAGTTATAGTGAGGAACATTCATTAAGCCTTGATCCTCGGGAAGGGGATAGTGAGCTTTTTCATCCATCTTACTCATTTCTCAACAGTACGTTGGGTTTCCCATAAGTCCTGGTTTGGAGGTTGTGTGTGTGCGTGTGTGCACATGCATGCATGTATGCATGTGTATACCACAAAATTTTATTTTTAGATAAAAATCTTACTGCCGGGCACTGGTGGCTCACGCCTGTAATCCTAGCTACTCAGGAGGCTGAGATCTGAGGATGGCGGTTCAAAGCCAGCCCAGGCAGGAAACTCAGACTCTTATCTCCAATAAACTACTAGAAAACCAGAAGTGGCGCTGTGGCCCAAGTGGTAGAGTGCTCTCCTTGAGCTGAGGAGCATGGGGACAGTGCCCAAACCCAGAGTTCAAGCCCCACGACCAAAAAATAAATAAATAAATAAAAATCTTACTGTGTAACCAAGATTGGCCTCAAGCTCATTCTCCTGCCTCAGCCTCCTGAACACAGAGTAAAACATATCCTATCATGTTTAGCTTGGATTCTTTTGTGTGCTGGTGGTGGGGCTTCAACTCAGGCCCTTGCATTCTCCCTAAGCTTTTTTGCTCAAGGTGCTCAGATACTTGAGCCACAGCTCCACTTCTAGCTTTTTTGTGATTAATTGAACACAAACATCTTATAGACCGTTCTACCTAGGCTGGCTTTGAACTGTGATCCTCAGATCTTTGTGTTCCTTTTTTTTTTTTTCCCAGGATTTCAGACATTTTCTCCTCCCTTTAGGTGATCAAAGATATGGCAGGGAATCCAAATGTTTCAATTAGAGCAAGAATCAAACATTACCATCCTCTTAGTCATAAGGAATATGCCAGATTTTTGTGTATGTGTTCCAGTCCTAGGGCTTGAATTCAGGGTCTGTCTCTGAGCATTTGTGCTGAAGGTTAGTGTTCTACCACTTGAACTACTTACTGCTCCACTTCTGGCTGTTTTGGTAGTTAATTTGAGATGAGTTTTATGGACTTAACTACCCAGGCTAGCTTCGAACTTTGATCCTGGTATCTCAGCCTCCTGAGTAGCTAGGATGATAGGGGTGAGTCACCTGCATAGCTTGCCAGATTTTTTTTCATACCAATTGTGAACAGGGGACTTTTCTCTACAGCCCTGACTTTCCTCTGCTGCTCATTTCTGTTTGAAGATCACATCTTCCATTTTTGTCTCCTTGGCCTGTTTCTTGGCTACTTCAGACCTGCTTCTTGCCACCTTTATCATCAGACATAGCACCTGCCACCTGCCATACTCTGCCACCATACTTTCTACCTCCAGGTCTTCCATATCCTGCACCACTGTACTCTGCCATTGAAAACACTACTTTGGATTTAATATCCAACATTATCTGGAAGAACAGAATCATGAACTCATCTACTTGGGGTTCTTTAAATTAGCCTTGAGTAGCTACTTCCTGTGCTTGTGATGCAGTTGCAGTGTCATTCATTTCGTCTGACCACAAGTTTTTGCGCCACATTACTGGAGATTTAGCACCCTCTGGTGTTAGTTACTAGAATACCAGCACAGATGTTCTCCATATCAGCCATGGTTGTCTGTAATTGTAAAAAAAATAATTTTTTGGTAAAGTTTTTCTCATTTTACTTCTACTCATTTAGCTTGAATATTTGGTAATGTAGGTATTATTATCCTAACAACTTTCCTGAACTGGGGATATGGCTCAGTGGTAGAATACCCCACTTGAGTGAAGCTGTAGGTTCAGGCCCCAGGACTAAAAAAGAGCAAAATAAAAACAACTTTCCTGAGCAAGTCTCAGCTTAAGTCAATTCCAAAGCCACGGCTAATCCCAGGACAAACCTCCACCCTGTATTTGTGCTAACATGTCCAGTACAGACCAAAGCACCTAAAAGCTTAAACTTGTGGATGGTTATCTTTTTTTTGGGGGGGGGGGTCGGTCGTGGGGCTTGAACTCTGGGCCTGGGCACTGTCCCTGCGCTCTTCAGCTCAAGGCAAGGGCTCTACTGCTTGAGCCACAGCGCCACTTCCAGTTTTCTAGTGGTTTGTTAGAGATAAGAGTCTCATGGACTTTCCTGCCCAGGCTGGCTTTGAACTGAGATCCTCAGATCTCAGCCTCCTGAGTACTAGGATTACAGGTGTGAGGATAGTTATCTTTTTATGCATGTTTTTATGCCAGTTTTGGGACTTGAACTCAGGGCTTTTGTGCTTAAGGCTAATGCTCTACTACTTGAGCCATGACTCCACTTTTGGCTTTTTGGTGGTTAATTGGGAGATAAGAGTCCCATGGACTTTCCTGTCCAGGCTGGCTTTGAACCTCCATTTTCATATCTTAGCCTCCTGAGTAGCTAGGATTATAGGTGTGAGCCATCACTGCCTGGTTTTTGAATACTTACCTTGTATTGGGCGGTTTGGTCAGGGTCATTTAGCTTCCTGGGTCTTTGGTGGTCTCAATTCTAAGGTGCACATCCCAGTACCTAGGGTAATCCAAGACCCCAAGTCTGCTAGAGGTGTGTGGATTTCGATTAGATATCACAGTACAAACTCTGCCACCTCAAGTCAGCTACAGATGCTGTAAAGTTTCTGGGTTTTTATCCTCCCCAGTCTCCACAGTTGAGGATCTTGATTCACTCATATCCTAACATGTTACCACCTTCTTTAAGCACTTGTCCTGGTGAATTTGGATCACATTGGTGGAGCCAAAGCGCTCAGCCTCTGAGTATGAACTTCTGTAAGGCTGGGATGTTGCAGATGTAACATCATACAGGCTGAGGTGCTGGATGCTAAAAGCACCCGTGTTCGGCTTCATCCTGGAGAAGTACCTGTCCTGAACACTGGAGCACTACCTCCCACTTCTTCACCATTCTCTACTATGTTCCACAACTTTCACCCTCTGAGTTTAACAATAAACTAGACCAGAGCCCTGCATAAACCTTGTGGATCTGCATGTTGGTTTGTTGCACATCTGTTCCAGGTGGTCAGAAGGCTGGGCCTGGAATAGCCAGGGTAGACACCAGTGCAAACAAGCACAGCCTCAGGGCTTGTATACCAGCATCTTCTGTTGAAGTTACACAGTTATGTCCAGTCGTTTGCTGCCCGTCAGAAATGTGTATGCTTATTTGAAGGAATTTTTGGTTAGTGTCTAGCACTCCAACATCATCAACAGCAGACGTCGTCTATGATATAGACTGTGTCAGAGGCCTGCTACCCAGTTGTATTCAGGTTCCTTTTTTTTTTTTTTGGGGGGGTCCGGTTGTGGGGCCTGAACTCTGGGCCTGGGTGCTGATCTTCAGCTCAAGGCTAGCGCTCTACCACTTGAGCCACAGCGCCACTTCTGGCTTGTTTCTTTTTGTGGCTTTTTTTTTTTTTTCTGGCTTTTTTCTTATGTGGTGCTGAGGAATTGAACCCAGGGCCTCATGCATGCAAGGCAAGCGCTCTACCATTGAGCCATCTTTCCAGCCCTGTGTTCAGGTTTCTTTAGGATATTCCCAAGCCCCTAATTGGGATGCAGTGGTATACCATGGTAACTTATGCTTGAGTTGGCTTCCAGTCAGATGGCCCCACACTTTATGTATTATTTCGGGACTTGAAGCTTGTTGCTTAACCTCTCTGAACTGAAGTTTCCTCTGTGAAATGGACTGCCACAAGGAGTCTGCACCATTGGCACAGAGCCTGGCATGATGCAGGTGCACAGTAAATAAGGGCTGTGCTCTCATCATGCTTTGTGGACTGATGGTACCCAAATGGTTTGCTGAAAGTTCTGTGTCTTCTTTCAGACCAAGAGGAAGATGAGGAGGAGGGTGCAGAGGTGGATATCAGCGCGGGGCGTTTCGTCCGCTATCAGTTCACACCAGCATTTCTCCGCCTCCGGACAGTTGGTGCCACGTGAGTATCATTATTTCCTGAGAGGACAAAGTTCTGCTTGATCACAGGGGTTGGTTGTAGAGGGAGGGAGGCAGAATCAAGCTCACAGAGATTTATTTTGCAGGGTGGAGTTCACAGTGGGAGACAAACCTGTGTCAAATTTCCGGATGATTGAGCGTCACTATTTCCGGGAACGCTTGCTGAAAAACTTTGACTTTGACTTCGGGTTCTGTATCCCCAGCAGTAGGAACACTTGTGAACATATCTATGAATTTCCACAGCTGTCTGAGGATGTCAGTACGTATCTCCTAACTTATATGTTGTAGTTTCTGAGGCTGGAAGGAATAAACCTCAAAACCCATCTGGTCAGTGCCTGGCTTTAAAGAGGGTAGTAGTGACATGTTGTATTCTCAGTTACCTGACCTACAGCTCCTCTATGGAGCAGCGAAGGAAAGGGAGTGCCTGAGAAAGGTCCAGGAGGCCAGGGACCATCCCTGGGCCTCAGCCAAAAATCTCTCCACTGTTAGGTCTTCCTTTGTAGCCTGGTTGTTGACCTTCACTTTCTTCCATAGACTCAGATGAAAAACTTTATAGACTACTAGACTGCATAGACTTGAAGGCCTGTGGACCAAATCTCATTCCTAGCTGGATACAGGGTTGGTGAGATAACCCATTAGAAAAAATGAAGCAGGAACCAAGGGCTCTTGCAGGCCTGGGAGCAGGAGGAGGGAGATGGTGGAAGCATCTTAAGAGGAGTGGCACAGTTCATGCAGGCAGAACTGGGAGAGCTCCAGAAGGAAGAGACTGCTTTGCAGCTCAGAGAGCCCGAGAGAAAGAGTGGCATCATCAGTTCCTGGGACTTGAGTCTAGTAGCTCTTCAGAACATTCATGCAAATGTGAACAGTGACCATTGTTTGTGTTGTGGGGAAGGGTCCCCATCCACTGGCCAGTTTTCTATGAATCCCAAGTCCTTAAAGATGGCATGTTCCAGGTGAAGTGAGCACTGCCTGGTGTGGGATGGTCTTAATAATATAGCATCTGCTTCCAGCTCAAGTCATCTCCCAGTTGGCCTGACCATGTAGATACTTGTAAGAAAAATTTACCCATGAAGCTAAATAAGCTGAAAGAGTTTGGAGGTTATGCTGGGTGCCAGTGGCTCACGCCTATAATCCTAGCTACTCAGGAGGCTGAGATATGAGGATCAAGGTTCAAAGCCAGCCCAAGCAGGAAAGTCCATGAGACTCTTTTTTTTTTTTTTTTGCCGGTCATGGGGCCTGAACTCTGGGCCTGGGCGCTGTCCCTCAGCTCTTCAGCTCAAGGCTAGTGTTCTACCACTGGAGCCACAGCGCCACTTCCGGCTTTTTCTGTTTATGTGGTGCTGAGGAATCGAACCCAGGGCCTCATGCTTGCAAGACATGCACTCTACCGCTGAGCTACCTTCCCAGCCCCTCCATGAGACTCTTATCTCCAATAAGCCACAAGAAAACTGGAAGTGGCGCTGTGGCTCAAGGGGTAGAGTGCTTGCCTTGAGCTGAAGAGCTCAGGAACAGCACCCAAGCCCAGAGTTCAAGCCCCATGACCGACCAAAAAAAAAAGTTTGGAGGTTAATAGTCTATCTGAATGTAAACCAAGTAGCTTTAGCCAGGATGGACTGAAGGAACTTGAAAAATCAGCATCACTTTTTAAGATCAGTGGTGAGCTCAGAGCATTTTCTTGAGGAGTCAAGATGGCATAAGCAGTTAACTGATGAAAGTAGTGACTGCTAGTTCTCTTACTCCAGTACAGTAAAGGAGATATGGACAAATGGAACACTTACAATTAGATCCCAAGGCAGTCAGGCCTGAACTCTGGGCCTGGGCGCTGTCCCTCAGCTCTTCAGCTCAAGGCTAGCGCTCTACCACTTGAGCCACAGCACCACTTCCAGCTTTTTTTGCTTATGTGGTGCTGAGGAATCAAACTCAGGGCCTCATGCATGCAAGGCAAGCGCTCTACCACTGAGCCACCTTCCTACCCCCTGACCTCATTATTCTGGCAGAGGATAGTCACAATTTCCAGAAGTCCTGACCTGTGAAATTTGGAAGGAATATTGTTTTTTCTGTCTAGCTGGAACACACACCTAACTTGCTTTTTATTTTTTCCCCCTTGCCTTGCAGTTCGTCTGATGATTGAAAATCCTTATGAGACCCGTTCTGACAGCTTCTACTTTGTTGACAACAAGCTGATTATGCACAACAAGGCCGATTATGCCTATAATGGAGGCCAGTAACTGTTGAGGGAGTAGACAGGGGTCGCACTTTACTGTGGCCATGTGGTCCTAGCACAAGAAGGGAATTGCAGCTACTGTTTTGTCAACACCCGTTGGAGTCTGGTCCAGGAAGCTATAGCCAGGGTGACAGTTTTCTGTGCTCCAAGAAAGTGCCAAGCAGCACTGTTTCTTCCCCAGGATTTCTCTTCCCTTTTCCCCCTGCCCCTTAGATCACAGAGCTATTTTAGTAAAGGATTAGAGTAAGGCTCCTGGAATCCGGGTAAGAAGAGAAAAGTTTTGTTTCCCTGTAGTTCTAGTTGCCTGCTGGTTATCCTGACAAGCTGTCTCTAGACAAAGCTGCTGCTGGTAAAGGCTCTGGCTGGCCCTCCTCTGTGTACTTCCTCCACTTGCTTCCAGTGTTGCCGTCACTGGAGCCTGCCCTCAGCCTGCATATCGTCTCAGACCACCCGGAAGAAACTTGAATGCAGCTGGAGAGAAGGTAGTGCAAGAGCTGAGGCACCAGGAGGTGCTGGCAAACTGAAAAGCCTGTTTTGTGCAGAGGTGACCGATGCGTGTGACTTCACAGGATCCTCAGCCAGGCTGAGGTTTTAGCCTGGCAGTGCCTTCTTACTTTCACTCCAGAGGACATAACGAGCTTGCTCTGCTCTGCTTCTCAGGTCTTGATTTTAGAACATCCCCTGAAGTAGAATGTGTCAGTTTTGATCATGGAACCTACTGTCGCTTGAGACCAGAGCAGGCCTCTTATATTTTGGATTTTTTATGTTTTCAGGCTGCTTTTGGGGAGTCTTTACAAGATGTCAGTGGCGGTCCCAGCACCTGTGATGTGTATTTAGAATTTATAATAGTATTAATTGCCTTCTTGGGTTTATCTGGCTCACATTGGTTGAAATACAGTTGCAAACCATCTGTTGTAAAGAAATGTAATATTTGGTACAGAGCAGAGCCTGGAGCTTTGGCTTTGAATAGGGATTTCCCTTTCTAATTGAAGTAGTCTCTAGAACCATCTGGTAGGTCAGATCTAAGTAACCCTTCGTGCTGTGGGCAGTTGTTTGAGGTGTTAGGAGAGGCCTGTTAGAACCATATGTTCTCGGAACAGCTTCTGGTATTTCCTGTGGGCTACATGTGTCCTCAGATCCTCAGTGGACAGATTCTCCCCTTCTCTGCTCCCTAGGTTATCCATGTGGATGGCTTTAGGTGCTGAGCCCAGATGTCATGACCCTCCATGTGACCAAGGTCCTGATTGAAAATTGTCTGCGGGTAGGGAGCAGATCTGAGGTTAGTCACAGTGAGGCATCTCAGTACCAGGGCTGTGCCCCAGCATACTTGGGGAAAAACCCTGTGGGGCCAGGGAGGCTAAGCTGACACTTTGTCCCAACGCCCCTCTGCATTCTTCTAGGGCTTAGTGCTCTGTCTGGCCAGAGAATCAGAGATGCCACATGCTGGCAGCATGAGGGAGAGAAAAGAGAAGCATCCTTTTGCCACTTTATCAGCAGTCTGGTGAATCTCAGAACTGGAGTCAGCTCTAACCCCGGTGCCTTAAATGTGATTCCATCTGTCTGCTGCTGGGCAAGGCCACAGTTCCATCATTCCTCCTTGCCTGCAGACAGACATCACTTCTGGCTCTTCTAATGGGATTTGTGTTCTCCCTTTGCACCCTCTCTTCTCTGCTGCAGAAGCTCAGTTGGGAGTATCTGTAATTTGATATATAAAATACTACCTAGAGTGTGTTTTCCATATCTTCCCAGAGCTCTGCTTGGCAGAGTGTGTCTTGAAATCCATGAGGTATACATGAGTGGACTGTCTACTCACAGTGTTGACTTTTGCTAGGATGGAGGAGTTTGCACCCTGGCACTGTGAGTGGTGCTCTACTCCTTCCCTGTGAGCTTGCCTTAGTCTTCACCGAGACCATTTCAAGTCCATCATGCCCAGCAACATGGGAATTTGCTATTCCTGCTGCCGAAGGCCCAGAGTTCTTTGTCTGGGCTCTGGTGTCCTGTGTCTAGCTGCTTGGGAATTTTTTTTTTTCCTTTTTTGCCAGTCCTGGGGCTTGGACTCAGGGCCTGGGCACTGTCCCTGAGCTTCTTTTGCTCAAGGCTAGCATTCTACCACTTGAGCCACAGCACCACTTCCAGCTTTTTTCTGTGTATGTGGTACCAAGGAATCAAACCCAGGGCTTCACGCATGCTAGGCAGGCCCTCTACCACTATGCCACATTCCCAGCCCTTGGGAAATCTCGAGAAGCATTTTTACCACTGGGTGTTGGCTGGGATGATTTTGAAATTCAGGCTTTTGTGCCTAAATTAAGTGATACTTTCTCTGAAAGTAACCAAACCAATCAGAAGTTAAATCAGGAGGGGCCATGTTGTCAAGATAACTGTTGATAGCAGTTATCTTGTGGGTCACATGACAGGGAAAACACATGCTGGCTTCTGGAGTGGACCAATAGCAGAGTTGTGCTTCTGGAGCTTCGTTCCAGCAGCCAGCAGGTCCACCTCCCTCCACTGCCCCTTTGCCTTGAAATCTGGAGAGGTCCTCTCCTTTCCTGCATAGCCTTTGGGCTCCACTGCCCTACCAGCTTCTCCAAAGATGATCCTGGTTTCATTCTGTGTTTTAAACTGTAAACATAGGAAATAACGACTACACAGAGTTTGGAGCTGAAGTCAGTTGTCCTGTGTTAGCTCAGAGCTGTTGCTAGAGAAAGCGTTCTTCAGGGCATGTGCTTCCTAAGATTCCTTAGACTTGGGCATCTGATTTCCAGTGCCTGGGTACTGATTTGCAGATGTCCTGGGCTGACCATAGACTGGAACCTGTTTCTGGACTGGATCTAATAATGCCGTGTCTAATGTGTAAGCTGGAAGAGGCCTGCCTGAATGGCTCTTGTTGTTTTGGCAGGCTCCCTCAGTACTTTTCTTTTCTCCTCCATAAAGTCACTTCCATCTGGTGGCCATTGTCACCATGACATCAGTGAGGTTTGGGCCTGGGCCTATGACAAAGGGTGCCACTGCACCAGGTGTGGGACCTCACTGAGCATCCTGTTACACACATTCCCTAGCCTGGGCCATTGGGTGCAGGTGGATTCGCCCTTGCTTTTACAAAGGATCATGTAAAGTCATTGAGGTGGTGAAAGTCTATTTTTCCCTGTAAATCTATTTTTTATAAATAGAAGAAACATCAATGACCTGATCTTCCATCTTCCCAAGATTCACATTCCAGTTTGTGTTGTCTTTGTGTCCAAAGTAACCTATGTGACTTTATTTGAGTAAAATGTTTTTTGTCACAAGAGACAGTAATAAATGATTTTCACAATATGTCTACCCTGTCTTCTGATTGGGCCAATCAAATTGTTGGAATTTAGGGGGTAGGGCAGGGTGGGACCCCAGAGTCTCTTCTCTTGTCCATTACATAGCCTTTATTGTGATTGAGCTAAGCTGGGTTTCTAAGGTGATTTGGGATCAGTGTTATGCTTTACATTTAATTATTTTGGGGGTAGGGTAAGGATCAGTCATGGGACATGAACTTAGTGCCTGGGTGTTGTCCCTGAGCTCTTTCATTCAAGCCAAATGCTTTGTTTGTTTTTGTTGGTCATGGGGCTTAAACTCTGAGCCTGGAACGCTGTCCCTCAGCTCTTCAGCTCAAGGCTAGAGCTCTACCACTTGAGCCACAGGCCCACTTCTGGTTTTCTGGTGTTTTATTGGAGATGAGTCTCACAGCTTTTCTCCTTGAGTGGGCTTTGAACCGTGATCCTCAGATCTCAGCCTCTCCTGAGTAGCTAGGATGACAGGCATGAGCCACCAGAGCCTGGCTGTGCTACCACTTTGTAGCTTTTTTTTTTTTTTTCCAGGGCTGAGGACCGAACCCAGGGCCTTGCGTGCACCAGGCGGGCCCCTTTCTGCTGGGCTAAACCCCCAGCCCCTGTGCTACCACTTTGAACCACAGCTTCACTTTGTTTTTTTCTGGTGATTAATTGGAGGTAAGAGTCTTAGGGACTTTGTTCCCTTGGCTGGCTTTGAACTACAGTCATCAGATCTCAGCCTCCTGAATGAATAACTGGGATTACAGGCATTAGCCACCAGTGCCGTGCATGTTTAATATTTTCGTTTGCCAAAGGGCTTTAAGAGTTGAATATTTACATGATTTGTTTCAAAGGTAGGTATACTTACCTAAGATACACAACAATGGGACCAACCAGGTGCTAATGATTCATGCCTGTAATCTTAGCTACTCAGGAGGCTGACATCTGAGGATTGTAGTTCAAAGCCAGCCCAAGGTGGAATGTCCAACTAAACACAAAAAAGCCAAAAGTGGAGCTGTGGCTCAAGTGGTAGAGTATAACCATACTACAACAAAGCTTGGGGTGGGGGTGGGGGGGCTGGGAAGGTGGCGCCTTGCATGCATGAAGCCCTGGGTTCGATTCCTCAGCACCACATAAGCAGGGGGAAAAAAAGCCGGAAGTGGTGCTGTGGCTCAAGTGGTAGAGCGCTAGCCTTGAGCTGAAGAGCTGAGGGACAGCGCCCAGGCCCAGAGTTCAGGCCCCACGACCGGACCAAAGAAAAAAACGTAGGGGGAGGCGAGGCCGGATCGCTCGCCTCCCGGCCGCCAGTGTGCGTGGCGGGGAGGGGAAGAGGACAGGGAAGGAGGGCTGGGAGAAGGCCGGGGGAAAGGCCGCCCGCGCGTGCCCGGGAGGCTGGGAGACTGAGCGACCGGCCCGGCCGCGCAGCTGCTCTCCGCCCGCCGCAGGTGGAGGGCCGCCGGGGTGGGTGGATCTGACCGCGCCATCACCGCCGCCACCTGGGCTCCGAGCCCGACCCGCGGACCCGGACGGACCCGGGCGCGGAGGGCCGGCGGCGGGACGAGGGGGAGGAAGAGCTGCAGGGGGGGGGGCGGTCCGCGCCGGGCCCGGGCCGGGCCATCTGCAGCCACTCAGCCGCAGATCGCAACGAGCGAAATAAACCAGAGCATCGTTCTTCAAGTGTTTAGAACTCAGGACCTTGCAGTTGGCTGTGCTTAACTGGAGCGCCTCCCTCCCTCCGTCCTGTGTGCGGACAGTATAGGAGAAAGGACTTGTGTGTGTGTGCTGTTTCTCTTTGAGCATCAATCCTCCAAGGACTCTGGCCTCCAAATATCTCGACGTCCAGGTGTTGCATAATATAGGTTGGAGAGAGTGGAGCCTGCTGCCCACCTACCTCCCACCTGCCTCCCACCTGCCTCCTCTGCTCAGGGACCGGGCTAGTCATTTCACTGTGTTGGCCATAGGGACTGTATTTGCTGCTGCTGCTGCTGCTGTTGCCGCTGTCAGTGTTGCTGCTGCCACCATTGCTGCCTCCACTGCTACTGCTGCTTCTCTCAGTCTTCTGTTTTGGTAATGCGGAGTCTCCAGAAGAGGTAGGGTAGGCACAGAGACTTCCTGCCTTTCCTGCTGGTGTTCAGCAGGCAAGACTGCAGTCCTGTGACACACAGGAGCATTGGCTTTCTTTAAGCGTAGTGTTTGGCAGGTCTGGCATGCAGGTGAGTGGCAAGGTGGAGGCCAAGGAAGTGCATGCCTCACCAGCCCCGACAGGTCTTGCTGCTACTTTAGAATTCGCTAACTTATCTTGGAGCCAGACAGGGCTGATTGGACCTGTTCTGGGTCAAAGCCCAGGTAAGAGTCCATGAGGTGCGGGATAGCCGGACCCGGCTGGGCTAGGACCCTCTGAATGGGGCTTCAGGAGGCTGCCTCTGTTTCCCTAAACCAAGGGTGACACAACACTTGCCTCACAGCAGGTGTCCTTTGAGGATCCAGTATCATCAGATAGGCTAAGCTCTCTCAGACTTCAGGGGAAAAGCCTTTCAGTATGATAAACCTGCCCCCTAACACCTGGGCATCTGGGTTGGTTCCATAGCTTAACTATGGTGAATAATGCTGTGATAACATAGTTGTGCTGGTAACTTTAGTATGGCCTTGTATGTGATCCTTGTTTGGGTAAATGCCCCAAAGAGGGGTTGCTGGGTCATACGGAAGTGCTACGTGGAGTCTTTTGAGGAACCTCCATATTACTTTCCCAAGTGGTTGAACAAGTTTACACTCCCACCGACAATGCAGTAGGGTTTCCTGTTGGCCACACCCTGTCCAGCATCTGTTGTTACTAGATTTCTTGAGCATAGTCAAACTGGAGTAAGGTAGAATCTCAATATTGTTTTGATTTGCATTTCTTTTATGGTTACAGAAGTTGAGCATTTCTTCATGTGTCTATTGGCCATTCTTTTTTTTTTTTTTTTGGGTCCGGTCGTAGGGCCTGAACTCTGGGCCTGGGCGCTGTCCCTCAGCTTTTCAGCTCAAGGCTAGCGCTCTACCACTTGAGCCACAGCACCACTTCCGGCTTTTTTTCCCCCTGCTTATGTGGTGCTGAGGAATCGAACCCAGGGCCTCAGGCATGCAAGGCAAGCGCTTTAACCACTGAGCCACCTTCCCAGCCCCAGCCATTGCTTTTATACCCTGCTACTTTGCCAAAGTTTTGAATCAGCTCAAGTATTTTGGAAGTGGAGTCGATCAGCTTCTTTGTCTTTCTGAAGAGTTTCTCTTGTATCCTCTGAGTTTGTCTCTTGGTGAAATAGCTCCTCCATGTTGACCAACTTTCTGAGACCCTTGGTGGAAACACTTAGAAGGGGGCTGAGGCAGCAGCTTTGTGGCATAGTATTTTCCTTTGGTTTGTGCCAGGAGTTGGGCTTGAACTTAGGGTCTTGTGCTTTCTCTTGGATT